CCTGCCCGCGCGCCCGCCGCGCTCTGCGCCTGCGCGCAGCCGGCCTGCTGCGCCTCCGGCCTGGAGTCCGGGAGAGCGGAGGCGGCGTTTGGAGCGGGAGTGTGAATCCAAGGGGAGAGGGATAGAAGAAAGCGGGATGGGCTGGGCTGGAGCGTGAGGGGAGAACAGGGAGAGGGAAAAGGAGGAAGGGGGAGGGAAGGGCCGTGAGAGGCAGGCCGGAGGGAAAGGGGAGGGAGGGGGGGACTGGAGAGGAGTGGGCGGAGCGCGGGAGCCCTGGAGGCCGGAGGGGGAAGGGCCGGGGTGGGCGTCGGGTGAGTGAGCCGGGAGCGGGAGAGGCGGTTAATGATGGTGAACTGATCGGGCGAAGGGAGGGGGACGTCAGCTGTCACGTCGCCAACACCTCTCCCTGAGCAGTTTAAAAACCCTTCCTGTCCGATTTTGAAACGCCTCAGGCCTCCGCTATTTCGGTCCTCCCAGCGGCGAGAGCACATTCACAGCGCTCTGGACCAGTTAGCTGGAGGAGGGAACAAATGGCTTTTTCCCCCCTTTGACCGCCGACGTTGGCCCAGTAGGTAACAGCGCTTAACAGCACCGGCTCGTAAAAAACCACCAGCTGGTCGACAAGATTCTGTTCTTGGTATACGATGAAAGCCTGAATCGCAAAAAGCAGCGTTAGTCTTTGAAGAATGTTCCCAAAATTTCCCTTAACACAGACGCCCCCAACAGGTGATAGGTTTGACGCTCACTTGCCTCTTGCTCCCCAGAATCTCCACCTCTTGGGGAATTGCTTCCACATTAACGCGAGGAGGCGATTCGCTCAGCTTCCCCTCAGACTCTCCAGTGACTTAATTCATTTTGAAGAATTTCGGTTTGGTTTTGCACAAAGGAGGGGTCAAAAAGCAGCTGAGAAACATCCCGTGTAGCAGTTCAGAACACTGGAGTGTTAAGAGAAGAAAGGCACCTTATCTTTAAAGCTGACCCAAGAGCAGATGCGGGGTGTGTGTGTGTGTGGCTAACTACAGATGTCTCCTTAGAATTATTTTTGGCACTGACTGAATTGCATTTCACTTGGGCTGATTTTTCTGGTATTTTCTTCTATGCAGAGGAAGTTTGGCTATGATACGTAAAAATCAAAGAATTTTAAAACTAAAAGGAAGCTTATAGTTTATTTTGTACAATACCCTGATATGTGAGAGAAACTGGGGTGTGGGGTGGAATTAGGGAGGAGATAGTGCTGAGGATGACAAATCATTTGGGAAAGGATTTAAGTTACACATAAAAAAGGGAGCACATTCAGTCTGGGAGCTCGAGAACATCACAGACAGAATGTCTCCTCCTTGTTTCTCCTAGCATATCATGACCAGCACAAATAAACCAAGGGTGAATCTACACTCTCTCATCTATCTATCCCAGTGCTGCTTAAACTTAATATGCATATGAATCACTTGAAGATTCTGTTAAAAAGCAGATTCTGATTCAGTAGTTCTGGAGTGGGACGGAGGAGTCTGCATTTCTAACAAGCTCTAGGAGATGCCAGTGATGCTGGGCAGCGAACTACACTTTGAGTAGCAAGGATCTATCCTGCCTGATAGATTTGCTATGTGGAGAAAACCGTGAGTTTGTAGATGACAGATCTTACTCTTCTGGTGGCTTTCATGAATTGTGGCAACTTGCTGCCTTGATTGTCGGCTCAGAAAGGAGTGGGATAGAAGTCAATGGACTCTGTAATATTTCTGTTCCTACTTTTTTACTTTCTTTTTTCCTATCCATCATTATACCCCCTCCTGGGTTCACTTCCTTTCATATCTAACCTAACCCTACTGAGCATCACTTAATCACCCCTCTGCCAGTGCTGTCAACTTCCTGAACTCTTATCTTTCGATCCCACTCTGCTTACAAACTTCCAACGTGGCGTCAGTATAGTCTGGGCTCTGAGCTCTGACTGTAGTGGATCTGAGCACTGCTGGAGAAAATGACACAATCGTTTGAATGCTATTCAGAAATACTTACATGTTTCTTGTCAACTTTCTCTCCTGTTCTTCAAATTATATCTTTTTAAGATCTGTACACCATCTTGTTTTTCTCTTGTAGCAGATTATTAGTACATCATTTTGTCTTCATATTCACAGAGATAATTTTGATTTTCGGGGGCACATTCCTTCAACTCTTCATTCCCAAGTTCATCATCTCATCCGTTAATACATCTAAAGTGCTTGGAACAATGCCCAGCACATGGTAAGCATTCGTATCATACTTTGCTGTCCTTAGAGGACATCAAAAGCAAACCCCTCTGGTTGTTTTAGTTCCCATCCTCTCCTCTCTCTTCAGAAAATTAGTTCTATCAAGTTAAAGGCTCTGTCAATCTCTCCCATTCTATCCTCTGTGCCCCAAAGGATATAAATATGCTTAGATCTTATTAATTTTAAGAAAGAAAAATCCTCCCTGCAGCTATCACCTGTAGCTCTTCCCTTCTCATCTCAGTCAGGGTTCCTGAAGGTATAGCTTTCTAAATTTAAATTAATGCAACCTTTCATAAAGGAAAAGACTATATCATAATCATTTGGCAATCACCCCTCAACTGAAATAGATAGTAAATTCATTAACATATCGTGTTTTCAGAAAACCTTTTAGATTTCTTTAAGCTCCGTTTAGTTTTTGTATGTTTGTTTCATTTACAGGAGGCAAAGACTGTCTTCTCAACACAGAGTAACCACCTTCATGTTACCTAGTTTTTGTACAGGGGAAGAAGGAATCACACTGTCTGGTGTGGGAATCTATTTGTTTTCTAAAATGAATTTCACTAAACTATACTGGTCTCAATGTACTCCCCTCACCCTATACATTTTTTAATAAGCTTTATTTCCTCTTTTTCTTAAAAAAAAAACACAAGTATACAATAGATTGGCTCTTAGAAACTAAAATTTATTCCACTCGATTGGTTTAAAGTTCTTTCTCAAACCTGTTAGTTTTACATCTTAGTATGTTGTATGTCATAGGCATTCAATACATATTTGTTTTTGATTTATTTGAAAATAAGTCAGATTCTACAGATTACAATCATTAAAACCTCACCTTTTCTTTGATGCTTCAAAGCTTAAAAAGAAAAGAAAACATAATGCCAGCAACTCTGTCGCTGCCAGCTCTGTTTCCAAGGAAACAGAGAATAGATCATCAAAAACAAAATAAGGATTTTCAACCTGATTACCCTTTTTTCACCAGTTCAGTCTCCATTGCTGCAAAATGAAAGGCAATATAACCTCAACCTTGCAATCTAGATTTTTAATTCTGTTTGTGCTTTCTCTCACTATTAAAACCAGGCAAAAAATTTAATATCTTGGGTTGTATGTTGGTTTTCTTGTAGAGAGAGTTAAACTCGTTCACAAGGATGAAGAAAACCTTTTGAATATGTGCTAGCACTATGTACATTTTGCTGAATAACCTAATATGTTTTAACCTCAAAACTGTCAAATGTTTAAATTAGTGAATCTCAGATTTAACATTTCTTGGGAGTAATATAGGAAAGTAATGGGAATTTATAAGAAAAGGATAAAGACTTCTAGAATGAAATGTTTTATTTGAAGAAATAAGAAAGAGGGAGGGGACAATGAAAAAATGATAGGAGCCAAGAGGAAAATAATTGGAGTTCCACTCAATAGAGCAAGATACCAGTATAACGTTGTTCTTTGTTCCACGGATTTGTATCTACCATGGATAAAATCACAATCCTGAAAAATAACAGCTATAGATAACAAGTTTCTTTTAGCATTATTATATTACCTAGAGATGCTTTGTGTTTTATAAAAGCAGTTTTCCTCTCAAATCAACATGTTTTACACCTTAAACTTACACATTGTTACATGTCAATTATATTTCAATAAAGCTGGGGGAAAAAGGCAGTATTCCTCTATTTTGAAAATTTAGTCAAAGCCAGAGGATTCTCTTTGGGTTGAAGTGCATAATAGAAATTTGCTTTAATAGAAGTACAGTTTAAGAGGCTTTAGATGGCATATTAATATTTTCAGATAATGAATAGTGAAATTCAGATAATAACACTAATGGAAAGAATGATTAATGTAATCTTTATTTGGGGTCTCCGTTATATCAGTTTTCTGCTTATATGTCTGTTTCCTCCCAAAGGATTCCAGCTTTTCAAAGGCATGGGCTGTAAGAGGGTCTTGGTCATTTTTAATACCTAAGCCCGGTACAGGACTTTGTAATTGGAGGTATTCCATAAGTGTTTTTGAGTAAATGTTTTTTATTTATTTAAATAATACTCTATATGTTAATTACAGGTTTTAGCTACATTTGGGCTTTTTTTTTTGGTGAGGAAGATTGTCCCTGAGCTAACATCTGTTGCCAACCTTCCTCTTTTTGCTTGAGGAAGATTGTCCCTGAGCTAACATCTATGCCACTCTTCCTCTATTTTGTATGTGGGACGTCGCCACAGCCTGGCTTGAGTGTTGTGTATGTATGTGCCAGGGATCCAAACTCGCAAACCCTAGGCCGCCGAAGCAGAGCTTGCGAACTTAACCACTACACCACTGGGCCAGCCCCTACATTTGGGCCTTTTACTATAGAATGCAAAATTTGTGATATTCAAACACATTTTAATTGTAAATACTAAGAGCCAAAGTAGACTATTTGTTGTAAAACAACTCTTAATATTTGAAAAAGTTTTTGAAGAAGACTTGGAGAGTAAAATATTAATTTAGAAAATTAGCTTAGCTAACATAAAAGGCTTTATATTAAAAGAGAATACCAGCGTGTGAAACAAATATGTACTTGTCTTGAGAACGGTAAGGCACATAGGAAAGATGGTGAGTTTTGGCTAACGCATATCTTCTTAAGCAAAGTATGGAACTTGATAAGACCTATGAAAACATTAGCAAAGGGTCTGGAA